TTTTTTTTTCTTTTTCTGTTTTTTTTTTTTTTTTTTTTTTTTTTGCTGCGATAAATTATCCTGTACGCGATAGCGGGCGACGACCAACCCACACAACCGAAACCACCTTTGGGGGGGGGGAAAAAAAGAGAGAAAGAGACGAGGAAGAGAAAAGAAGAGACGACCGAGGGAAGAAGCTGCGAACACAACCCAATCACGGCGAAGAAGTCAAATTCCTCCGAGGGGAAGAGAAGAGGAGAAACTTCGAATTGATATCCTTCTTTCATCGATTCCCTTCCCATCCTGGTCCCCCAGATGCACTCCACTCTCTGTCGTTCGAGGCGGTTGCAACCATGGCAGAGGCGGCGCAAGCTGAGGCAAGCGTTGCCATTTCTCCCACAGGTTGGTTATTCTCTTTTTTTCTTGTTTTCTCTTCTTTTCCTTTCCTATTATTTTTTTCCCATAAAATTTATCTTCTTTTTCAAATTCTCTCTCTCCCTCTCTTACTACTCGTCTCTTAACTTTTTTTTTTTTCTTTGGTGTCGAGTATTTAGATATAAAAGATGAACCGAACCCTCTCGATGGATTCAACTTTTCCATCTCACCAGAGACCACCAAACGATCCCTCGAGGCCGTCGAGGCTACCATGGAGACTCCAGACGTCAAGAGGCTGAAGATGGAGCATCGGCAACAACATGATGCCAACAATGGCGATGGGAGTGTTGGCAGTGATGGTGATGCTACGATGACGACGACGACGACGACGACGACGACGACGACGACGACGGCCGATCAGCAACAACAGCAACGACAGCAACGAGAACAGCAGCAACAGCAACAACAACAACAGCAAGAACAACAACAGCAACAGCAACAGCAACAGCAAGAACAGCAACGGCAACAAGAGCACGACGATGCGTACAACAACGAAATGTCCCTCATCATGCAGAATGCCCTCTCCAACATCAGCGACATCATCGGTCAATTTAGCAATCACCCGCCCCCGCAGACGACTGGCGAGGATGGGGCCGGCAGCAGTGGCGACAACTTGGTGGCGGCCGACCACGGCGACGGGAACCACAACCACGGCGACGAGAACCACGAAGGCGCTGCCTCTTCCGGCGCCGTCGTTCCCACTACCGAGCCGGGACCTACGGCCGACAACGGCGACGGTCTGCCAGACGGTCTGCCCGCTCTCGACGATGATACGACTCCGACACCCGTCACCTTTGTAGACGACCCTACAAAGTATGCGCGCAATGCCAATCTGCATGCGCTCGGAAGCATTGTCAGTGATACATCTTCTGCCCTTTCTTTTCTTCTTCTTTTTCCATACTGTTTTCCGGCCCCTACCCGCTCCTTCCTACGGAAAGGGAACACCGAGGATTTCGATTGCGGGGTCCAGGCAAGCGAGAGGAGAGAAGTAATGAGATGAAGAGGAAGAAGGAGAAGAGGAAGAAGGAAGGAGGGACAGAGAACAGGAGATGAAAGGAGAAGAAGTCACTGACAGCAGACACCAGGCCATATCAATGCTCCTGCTACTGTCGCAGAATCCCTTCGACGGCATAGCAGAGAAGATGAAGGACGCCGCGTCGGAGCACAGACGTCGATACGACCAACTGCAGAGGTCTCTCGAGTCGGTCCGACTCCTCTTCACCTCCAACACCGGCGACGACGGCGACGGCGACGGCACCCCGAGCCCCATGGTCTTCGCCGACGACCTCGACCTCGACTCCCCCGACGCCAGCACCATCATGCAGTTCTGCAACCTGGCCCAGATGAGCGCCTGGCTCGTCGATGGCGGGCCGGAGGCCATGCGTCTGGCCGACGTCCACCTGCCCGCCGTCTTCCGTGACGAGATCATGGGTCTGCCGAAGCGCATAGTCAGGATGCTCGCCGACCTCAAGACGCACAGGGCCGTGCAGTCGATGCGCGAGAGGGGCGTGCCCTCCCTGTCGGACCAGGAGCTCGAGGACATCTTCCTCGTCGGGCTCGAGGACAGGCTGCGCGAGCAGAACATTGCCAACCAGATCATCGGCACCGAGGATACCGTGACCGGGAGCCTCCGGAACCGCATACACGAGATTCAGGCCTTCCCACCAGAGACGGACCTGCCAGGTGTGTACACACGTAACATCCCTGATGTATACGCACTTCACAGAACAGTTGGCTAACCTCGGTCCGATATGATGGGGAGAAAAAAAAAAAAAAGGCACGTACCCGTGGGATGAGCTGATCAGAAACTTCTCCCCCCACGCGCGGAATCAGCTTGCCCTGGCTCCTGATCTCGGCAGGAAGCTGGGCATCGCCATGCCGGCCACGGAGCACTCGGTTGAGCCGATGCCCGACGAACCCGAGATCGACGCTATGGATCTCGAGGACCTGACCTCGTTCTTTGAAAGGACGGCCAACGGCCTGGTCGAGAACGCCCTGGCTGACCTGGACGTCGAGCAGCTGCAAAACGAGACGCTCGGTGGCAGCAGCCACGGCGCAACTGCAACGACGACCGAGACGGCGGTGGTCAACGAGGACCAGAGAAACGATCACAGCAACGCTGACAATGACGATAACAACAATAGCAACGACAGCAGCGGCAGCGGCAGCGGCAGCGGCAGCAGCAACAGCAACAGCAACAATACGCT